GCGTAGAAACTCTATCGATTTCGAGGGCGAATAAAGTCCCTCTTCATCAGGAGCAAAGAAATCTGCAACTGAAATTACTAATGCAGGTTGTTGCTTCACTTTTATAATTTATTTCAGGCGTGTTTCTCTTCTGTCTTTAATGCGAAAATATTGAACATGTAGACAAATGGAAGATAACTAGGACTGTTCACGGGTATGTATGTAGACTATTTTACAATATTGTTCCTGATTAATTAAGGTGTGATGTACAAAATAATTAAGTTTAACTAATATAGCACTCTTTGCTTTTTTCACTATATATTTGTTAATTTTTTTTTTTTTTTTTTTTAAAGCGAAATGCTCATGGCATCTGAAAATAAAATTACTTTGAAACTGAATGTTTCATTTAGATGTATAAGTGACTTTTGGTTGTGTATGTAATATTATTATTTTCAATAAGGACTGAACTTGAAAGAGATATCCAATTTTGGTAAGAGGATGCGTATAGCTTTCTGTTGCTGTGCAGATCCGATAAATTCCGAATTTTGAAACATGCAGTTCCTATTACCATTTCATAATGAGCATATTGTTGCGTGCGTACGAGTTCGTTATGAAATGAATGCACAAGTCCGATGAAAAAAAATGAACAAAAATTTATTATTATCACAACAAAAATGCTTAAATTTTCTCAAATTATCACGCAGTATTACAATATCTCACAGTAGTTTTCTTTTAACTACTCAAATGTCCAATAGAACGTAATTCAAAACAGCTAAAGAACGCTAATCCACGAATTCGCTACAATCAACAACAGTAGTTTTTTTAAACAACAACAAACTAAGCAACTACTAACTACAAACTGAGATGTTTTCCTCCTTTTATAAGATTTTAAAATCACGCGCTAGAAATTTCCAGTACTTTCTCGAAATCAAAAAGAGATATTTATTTATTTAATGCACGCGCTCTTGTATTTTTCAATTTTCCGGCGCTTAGCTTTCTTTTAATATTCGTCACGCGCTGCACTGCGCGAGAAATAAAACCAATTAATTTATAATTGAACTAATATTAGCTTTTTAAATACCAAATTCGTAACACTGCCCCCTTCCCAAGGACTGCACGTCCCGGGCAGTACAATCCCTGGACAGGAAGCTAAATTTACAACTGTGGCATAAATGCAACTGAGGCATAAACATTACATTACAATATCAAACAATATAAACAATAAATGCAATAACTAACTTGAACAAATCAAATGCTATCAAAATACTAAATACAAAACAAAATAAAACAAATACTAAATACAAATCAAATACTAAATGCAAATCAAATACTAAATACAAATCAAATCAAATACACATTTATAAACAAAAAGGACCATGGTCTTATACTATTTACAATTATTTACATTATGTACTATGGCCATAGTAATGTGCTAACCTGTCGTAATGAACGACTTTAGGTTTAGAGTTCGAAGACTTACGAATCCGAACCACGACGTCATTCAGCCTGTTTAGGACTGTGTACGGGCCATCCCAAGGTGACTGTAATTTCGGACAAAGTCCTTTCCGTCGAGTCGGATTCCACAACCACACCTTGTCTCCTTCGTGGAATTGATGTTCAGTAGCTCTTGTGTCGTATCGGGTCTTCATCTTCTCCGTCGCCAAGTTGACTCGCTCTCGTGCAAAGTTGTGCATCACTTCAAACCGGGCCTGGAGATCTTGAATATATTCCTCAGACGATGAAGGAGCATCCGGAGGGCGGCCAAACAATAGGATCACAAGGCAGACGAAGAATCACGACCGAAGAGCATTGTGATGGAGAATAGCCGGTAGTCTCGTGGACAGCACTGCGGTAAGCCAGTAAAAAGAGTGGTAATTTCTTGTCCCAGTCCTGTTGGTTTCTGGAAACCACTAATGAGAGGTTATTAAGGATGGTTCGATTGAACCTCTCTACCATGCCGTCCGACTGGGGATGCAATGGCGTCGTTTGAGTTTTGTCAATGCCGAGTAGTTTGCATAGTTCTTTGATTACTGCCGAGGTAAAATTCGTTCCCTGATCGGAATGTAACTGAAGAGGCACTCCGAACCTGGAAATCCAGTGCTGTATCATTACCTCAGCTACTGTGACAGCCTCTTGATCAGGAACAGGGTACGCTTCAGGCCACTTGGTGAAGTAATCAATGACAACGAGTATGTATTTGTTGCCATCAGCAGTTCGTGGCAGAGGTCCTAAGATGTCAAAGGCGATACGTTCAAAAGGCGCCCCTACGTTGTAACGTTGCAGCTTGCCTCGGCTGCGTCTCTTCGGTCCTTTCCGACCTGCACAGGCATCGCAGGATCGGCCACCACTTTTGCACGTCATCCTTTGCATTATTCCAGTAAAAGCGCTCACGAACTCTCTGTAAGGTCTTCATTATTCCAAAGTGACCTCACGTAGGGCTGTTATGTAGTTCTTTAAGGACATCAGGAATGCGGGATCTTGGAAGTATCAGCTGCCATCGGAACGTTCTTCCCATCATCCGATTCAAATTTCCGGTATAAGACGCCGTTTCGAATGTGAAGTGAATCCCAGAGTGCCCAATACTGTTTGGTTGTAGGACTACAGATAGAAATGTCCTGCCAGGTAGGTTTTCTGGTTGATGACTCCATTAAATCAATTATCGGTTTAATGTCGCGGTCTTCCAGCTGGTCTTTCCTGACTTCATCTCATCACTCCACGGTTCTCGATCAGCCGATGTTGATGTTGTAATTTGTCTTGCGACCATAGTCAGCAGCTCGTATTTCGCTTCCACCCTGGAACAATATCGGCAGCTTTCTTGGCAAGATCTTCTAGACAGGGCGTCGGCGTTTCCGTGTGATGATCCCTTACGATGACGGATAGTGATGTCATATTCTTGGAGTCTCTGTATCCACCTGGCTATTTGACCCTCAGGATTCTTGAAATTTAAAAGCCAGGTCAATGATGCATGATCGGTGCGGAGCAGGAATTTTCTGCCATATAGATAGTGATGGAACTGTTCTACGGCTTTGACTATGGCGAGCAACTCTTTCCTGGTGACACAATAATTCCTCTCCGGTTTAGACAGGCACTTGCTCCAGTAGGCCACTACACGTTCTTGGCCGTCTATTTCTTGGGACAAAACAGCACCGACACTTTCATTGCTCGCGTCGGTGTCAAAAAATAAATGGTCGGTCGAGCTGAGGATACGTCAGGATTGGAGCAGATGTTAAAGCCTCCTTTAAGTTGTTAATGCATCCTCGCATTCTTTTGTCCACAAGAATCTTTGCTTGCTCTCTGTCAGCTTGTGAAGGGGTCTTGCGATGGAAGAAAAGTCCTTCACGAATCTCCTATAGTAGGTGCAAAGCCCTAGGAAGCTTCTCAGCTGATGGACATTTTCAGGTCGTTTCCAGGATTTAACCGCTGATACCTTTTCAGGATCCGTGCGCACACCTTCTGCAGAGATGACATGTCCCAGGTAAGTCACTTCCTTTCGGAACAATTTGCATTTAGCGGGACTCAGCTTCAGATTGGCTTCTTGGCTTCTTTCAGTTTCTGAAGCACGTTCCTAAGATTTTCTAAATGTTCTTCAAAACTCTTTCCGACGATGATGATGTCGTCCAGGTATATCAGGCAGGCTTCGTAGGAAAGGCCTTTTAAAACAGTCTCCATAACACGTTCGAATGTTGCCGGCGCATTACACAGTCCAAACGGCATCACCTTGAATTGCCAAAGCCCTTGTCCCGTAGTAAATGCCGTCTTTTCTTGGTCATGAGGGTGTATTTCTACCTGCCAATACCCACTCTTTAAATCAAGTGTTGAGAACCACTTGCTTCCAGAAAGAGTGTCTAGAATGTCGTCAATTCTAGGAAGAGGGTAACTGTCTTTCTTCGTAACCTCATTCAATCGGCGATAGTCGACGCAAAATCTTGTTGAGCCGTCTTTCTTTCTGACTAGGACGATGGGAGATGCCCATGGACTTCCTGAAGGCTCGATGACATCGCCTTCTTCCATATCTTTTAACAGTGTTCGCACCTCTTCCTGTTTAGCAAACGGTAGACGTCTTGGATGTTGCTTGATCGGGGGATGATCGCCGGTATCTATTCTATGTTGTGTCAAACTAGTTCGACCCACGTCAGAAGACGAGCAGGAGAAAACAACTTGAAGATCTTTGATGACGCGATCGGCAGCATTCTTCTCTTCATCGTTCAATTGCGCATTCTGCAATAACTCCGATGTAATGCTCTCTGATGAGGACACGGATTCTTGGATATTGCTCTTTCTTTCAACGGATTTGACGGCCCCTTCCATCTTTTCTTGGAAAGCAGCAAATGCAGTCATCATTTGCCTGAATTGTTCTTCCATCGCTCTTGTTATTGGCATTCAAATCCCACTTCTGACACCAAAAATTGTTGCGTGCGTACGGGTTCGTTATGAAATGAATGCACAAGTCCGATGAAAAAAAATGAACAAAAATTTATTATTATCACAACAAAAATGCTTAAATTTTCTCAAATTATCACGCAGTATTACAATATCTCACAGTAGTTTCTTTTAACTACTCAAATGTCCAATAGAACGTAATTCAAAAACAGCTAAAGAACGCTAATCCACGAATTCGCTACAATCAACAACAGTAGTTTTTTTAAAACAACAACAAACTAAGCAACTACTAACTACAAACTGAGATGTTTTCCTCCTTTTATAAGATTTTAAAATCACGCGCTAGAATTTTCCAGTACTTTCTCGAAATCAAAAAGAGATATTTATTTATTTAATGCACGCGCTCTTGTATTTTCAATTTTCCGGCTTAGCTTTCTTTTAATATTCGTCACGCGCTGCACTGCGCGAGAAATAAAACCAATTAATTTATAATTGAACTAATATTAGCTTTTTAAATACCAAATTCGTAACAATATTTTTTATGTCTTGTAATCCTGTGAATGATCACAGACTAAAAGTTATGCTTTGTTCTCAGTCACAATGCGAATGTTATTTCACATCACTTTCTATGATTTTTTTAGATGATCCGGATACAATAGCATTGGATAATCAACTTAATGCGTCTGATCCGGAAGAAACAAGTTCTGAATCTCTGTCTGATATTTCTCAGGAAATACCTGATGAGAGAGAACATGAATTAAGCCCAACAGTAAAATATGGCGGTACGTTCAAATTTTTCTTCATATCAAAGTTCGAAACATGTTTCTCGCCTTACAATTAGAAATTCCAAGGTTAAGTATAATAAATTAACCGTCTGACATGGTTATTAACTTGAATTTCAGTATTTTTCATCATTTCAATTCCTGTTAATGCAAAAAACAATTTTTTTAAAAAAAATTAACGAAGACAATATGCTATAGTGAAACGTCAGAGAATTTTCCCAAAGAATGTAAAAAGCATATGCACTGCAGTAAATTTTTGCATTTGATTTGCTCATGCAATCAGTTAACACATCTTCTTATCAGTTAACACATCATTGTGTTAACTGATAAGAAGAAAAGGGAAAAAATATGTCTAAAACATTTTACTTTTGAGACTGATGCAAGAAAATTATTCTGTGCGTATTTGGTACGATGATGTAAAGTGATTTGTAATTTTGATGTCAGTTGTATTATCAGCTCGTGATATGTTAATTCCGTAATTTAAACAAATTTAGAGTATTACTTATATTGAGTTATTGACATCAGTTACTTAACAATATTCTTTCTTTCAATTGCTTATTACTTTTCTAAATTAGAATCAAATCTCTCATCAGTATTCATATATCTTCTCGTTTCATTAATTTTTTTATTGTTTTGTTTAAATTTAACGTCTATATTATATAAAATGTCTATACATTTTTTTCTGCACAGTGTACATCAAAAGACTTCTTGATTTTCAAACCAATGACAAAAGTTTTCTATGTGATGGCAGTAAAACATAACAAATTTATTATTGTAGATGCATTGTTCATTGCTAACAGAACTATGTAATGAAGTTCTAATCGAAAATCTTTTTTTTAATTTCCTTTCCCCTCTTTTTTCCCCTCCTACCATAGGCAGTAAGATGCAATGAAGATATTGTCAAAGTAGATAACAGTCGAAACAGAATTGTGAAAGGGGATTAATATATTTTGAGCAAATGGAAAAAAATAATAGTAGCGAAAACCAGTATGCAGATCCATTCAAAACTTCGTACTTCACGAAAATTAGCTGCCTAAATTGTGCAACGACCAACGACAACCGTTTTATAGTAATTGATATAGCAGAGATATTGAAGAAGACGGTGTAGAAAATGGTCGTTTGTTTCAGTGCATGTTGCGTTAGAGATCGTGAAAATAAATTACATCAGAAAACTTTGCTTGCTAATAGAGACTTCATGGATGACTGTTGTTCAAGAAACTTACTATTATAAATTTCTGGGCGATATAACAGAATTGAGATGTATATCCAAATACTGTTATAAAGAATTACTACATCAATATAAGCTGTGAATTTCAGGTTTATTTTATTTAAGGAAAATTGTATTTTACCTGAAAGTTTAAGAAATTTAAAAATATTAAACCCTTACAGCTTTTACTTCAGAGCTTTTAAATTTTTCAGAAAATTTTCTCTCTTTCTGTTTTTTTTTTTTTTTTTTTTTTTTTTTAAATACTTTCGTACTATAAAAGTACACCTGAGTATGTTAAAGTCATTATATTTTATTTATCAATTCCTAACTTTATCTGGAAAGATAGATTACAATACTTAAATCATTCTTCCTAATCCATGTGACAGGCATTCTAAGCCTTTTGTTTAAATATGCTACTTTATTAATCAGAATTTTTTATGTTTTACAGGTAAAAAATCCCAAATCCAGAATGAGATAATTCGATCGATACCCACCTCAGAATCTAAAATTCAATCTATCGAACAAAACTCTGTCTTCTTCCCTGAAAAGGAATGCTGTTGGGAATATCAGGAAATGGAATTCGATCAAGAATCCAGTTCTGGAACTTTTCAGGACGCAGAATACATTGATGAAGCTATGTCAAAGACAGGAAAACTTTCCCAACAGGAAATTAAAATAATGAGTCACTCTTCTGCTGCCGAAATGGCTAATCATTTTGCATCTGAAGAAAAAGAAATCGCAAAACGTATAACTTTTGCTGATTTTGAGAAATCTCAATCCTATCAAACTGTACAATGCTATAATAACGATGTCCATTTCACAACTCGCTTCGATCAAAGTACAGAACCGCCATCGAAACTTATCACTGTCAAAATCGTGTCACGTCCAGAACGTAAGCTGCACGAAGAAGAAACGAAAACAGCTGTAAATGAATGTTCTGTTAAAAGGGATATTAACGGTTCCTTCTTTAATCTCTCGACATGGGAAGAAGCACATTATAAATCAGATGAGGAATCCTCTGAAGTAAATCCAAGTGAATTTTCAGATGCGAGCAGGAAAGACATGAGGTCGAAGTCTGTGGACAACTTGTGCGATTCTATCCAAGACACATATCTTGAAAATGAATGCAATGTCATAAAAAGGGCGGACGAGCCTTGTCTTAAGTTTAAAAGTAATACGCCTTTGAAAGGAAAACCATTCTTTGGATCTGAAAATGTTCTTAATAAGATAGATTCTAAAGATTTCCATAAGAATTCGCTTTCAGACTTGAACAGTCATGGAAGTCTTAAAGATATTTCTGAAAACTCTAGTAATATCTTTTTAAGGAACGAAAATTGTTGTAACAAAGAAGATAAGAATGTCCATCGAATAGAAATACAAAGCTCCCATTCAAGTGAATCTATTGCATCGAGTGATGATAGATGTTCCAAGACTGTGAATTTGAGTAATAGCGCTGCGAAAAATAAAAAATCTGGGAAAAAAGAATCTTTCAAGTGTAATGGAGTTATTCCTAATTCAGTTTGTAACAATGTATCTTCGTCATGTCAGACACCGGAAAATTCGAAATTTATTCTTAAGGAGGATTCACAGTTTTCAAATTCTAACTCTGACATAATGGGCATCTCTCATTCAAAGCGAGTAGTATATAAAAATGAATATGCAAACATCAGTGTTCAGTTAGCAGAAAATCCAAACAATAGAGAAACGCCTTTTGAACAACAAAGCAGCAACTTATCAAAGGATTTAAAATCACCAGCTTCTGAATTTGAAGATAAGTCTTGCAAAGGTGCAAACGGAAATACATCCAAAGATAATCATCAACAAACGAAAAATTCACTTTTGAAAGCAGGTGAATTCCGCTTTTCCAACAATGGTATTTCCTGTGCATCACAAATTCAAGACGATGATCCGAATGAACGCATAAAATTTAAAACTACGGGGAATGTACAGATGATATGCAAATCAAAAAGTTTATGTGATATTTCAGAAAACAGAAGAGGTATAGGTTCAGAAGATGCTGTATCATCAAAAAGCAATGATACAAGTAAACTTGACTTTGAAGATAAACCTTATCTCATAGTAGAAGCTAAAAATACACCTGCTGTCGATTTTCAGCATTTTGAATTTGAATCCGAAGTTCCCTTATGTGCGAAGTTAGTTTCGAAGCATAATAACAAACATTCCGTGAAAAGTGCACAGTCTGTATCTTCATCATCTAATATGAATGGAAGCGTTTGTTCTGAATCTTCTCATGTTTATGAAGATATGTTCAAAGAAACCACGTCTTGTCCATCTGATTCAGAAACTTCTAGTTGGACTGTTATGAAGAATAACACATACTATGTTAATGGCCGATCGTCTTCCTTGAATGATTTAGATTTATCTGATTCATGCTCACTGTCTGTCAAGTGTGATTATGCTTCCAGTTGTTCAGGCCAAAGTACTCTGCAAAGTCGTCACTCCAGTTGTGGTAGTTCGAGTTTTTATGTGAATTTGAAAGATTACGATTCTCACATGCTTGAACCAAGCATCGGTCGCAAAAAAAATCGCAAGGTATCAACGAATGGTCATACACATATCACAACGAAAAGTAACCCGCCGACTCCAGAATCCTTAAGACATCTTTTTACTTCCCCTTTGCACTCAATCCACACACCTCCAATTATATCTTCTAGACTGGTCAATAGATTACCTCCCGAAACTCAATCCCATTGTTATTCAGCAACTACAGCAACTAGCTCAGCATTCAAGCATGGTTTCGATCTTGCGCCTCAGAAACCAAAGAAGTCAGAAAGAAGTTCTTCCATAAAAATTAAGGACATTGCTCATGGAATAATACTGACATTCCGTAGGTTCCAGAATCATTCAAAGTCATCTCACTTGTCCCAAATGCAATACGTTGATGTTAGTCATTTAGCGGAAAATGGCTGCAGGACAAACAACAGTGTGCAGCCTGGGAAAATGAAATCCAAGAAAGATCCAAAAGAAATCATTAAGGTTCAAGAGAAAGGGAGAAATCGATGGGGCCTTTCCTCCTCCGAAAATGGGAAAACAGACAGCGACTCTGGATGCAACCTGTCTTCCAAAGATTTTCAAAGCAGCAAACCTAGAAGATCGTCTAGCGACCTCACTGGCTCAAAATCAAATCTAGATCTTATAAATCGAGATATCATAACAGAGAAGAAAAAGAATAAAAACAACAAGAAAAGTAGTAATAACAGAGAAAAGGGAAGTAAGTGCAAAATTTTATTTCACTACTTTCAAAATGCTTTCCCAAAGCTCAGATTAACTGAATTTTTTATGCTACTAATCAATTTATTTCATTAACTTTATCTTGATTTCAAATAGACATTTTAATTTTTGAAGTGCAAGATCATTTGCGAATATGAGAGCACTGACCTATTGATAGTTTGTTAATATTAATACTCTCCCTCTAAGGCTCAATTTAAAATTTATCAGTTTGAAAGTGCCTTACATTTTGTAAAGTTTTTCAGCTTTAAAAATTCTATGTTGTTAATTATATCTTTAATGTATTCTATTCAGGAATTACGTAACCTGAATGAAGTACGCATTTAAAATAATTGCAATAAATTAAAAAAAGTAGAAAACAATGTTAAATTCATTAAGAACTTAACATAAAATTTAAAGTGAACAGAAGTGGCGCTTTTTTCCTAACATTTTTAAGGTAAATTCTCTTTACACAGTAATTTCTGCATATGCTAATTGACTAGAATTTCCCTTAAAAGTAAAATTTTAAAACAGTTTGATCCAAAAAAATATTTGATGATGAAGTTTCAGCCACAATGCTGTTCACTAATTATATTTTCAGATCAAATTCTATTTTATATTATGTTTTAGTATGTTACGCAATGAATAGTTTTGGGCACCACATAATCTACTTATTTTTAAAGTACATAACTGCAATTTTTTTCATTGTGTTAATGCAAATATATAAAACGCTATTTATAAGTTTTTTCTTTCCACTTATGTTGTTGACTGGTGATTAAATTTTCCGCATCCAACTAATTTCTAATTTCCGGAACAAAAAATAGAAATTGTCAAAGTTCATATGACGAATACCATATACTGATGTACAAAGCGTGATAAATCTCATTATTTTTAAAAGTTGCAACTTCAAAATTAATTGAAAAATTAATTGAAAAATTCAGCGGCTCTTTGTCTAATTGTAGGTTTAAGCTCCTGCATATTCGAATTTTTAAATCGTGACTGGACAGGACAAAGCGATGAAAGTGGGCATAGCACATAACGATAAAAGTAGAAATTCAGAAATTCTTTCAAAATTTTCTTACGTTGAACCGATTATTACAGACGCTCAGTGAATTTCGTTATTACTCAAGACAAAAAATATTGACAATGAAAATTTTAAACGCTTGCACTTGAATAAAATAAGTGAAAAGCAGAAGGAAGTAGTCTGATGCCCTTTATGGGCGTACACGACTGTCACACGACAAGCGCAAGTCTTTCGAGGGTTTGTGATGGTGCTGTTCGAGTAGAACTGTAATGTCTAGTGATGACAGCTTTATAACTTAAGGAAAGATCAATACAAGACAGCAGAAAATATTACAAATCAGTTGCACGTGAGAAGTGGGTGCCAGATGTACCAATTAGATCTAGCCAGACGAATGAAAGATAACGAAATGTTTTTCTAGCAAACAATACATTTGTATCCCATAAACATCTACCCAACGGGGCTGCCTCTGACCTTGAATACGACACACTAATTGGACAACAGTACAGTGATGTAAGATACATAAAATTGATCAAAATACATTTATTTTCACCTAATTTGTTCAGAAATTACCACGTAATATTACACAGCAAACATCACTGCAACAGGTCGATATTGTTGTGCATTGCGCTGAATGGGTTTACACAGCTTTATATAATGGAAGTATGTATTATATCCGTTGAACGCAGCTGCAGTGAGGCAATTCTGCCGTATATCCACTTATTCTCAGGATCTAATTAGGCCCGAATTTGTTTTTATGGACAATGACCCGATATCCTACCGCGTTGTGATTGATGACATGCTGTTGGGAAAGCAAGTTAATTGCTCCATCAGATTATCGTATTTTTTTTTAATGATATCATTCCTATTGAACACATTTAGGATGCTCTAGGAAGAAGCCTTACGATAGGTCCGTGTATATTGGCAATTAAAGAACAGTTCAAAACTTAGCTAATAGAAGCATCCCAAATGCTACCATAAAAATTTATGAACAACTTCATTCGAAGGGCACACATTGGTTCAAACTAAGTATTCACATTCACTTTAAAAAATGACATAAGAAGTAATCTTTTTCTGCAGAATCACTTCTTATTTAATTTCTGGGCAGTGTTTCATTGACATTACTACTGCTATTAATGAAATGAAATCACTTCTGAATAAAGTGTATTCATACATTTTTTCTGTTACTGTTGTTATGCTGTTTTGGTCATAATATCAATATCATTTAAAAAAACCTTATACGTGATCTTTTTCCCAAATATGTTTTGTCTAATTTTCTAGTCAAAAATTTCCCCTCTAGTTTAAAACTGTAAATACAATTTATGCTCTAAGATTTGAGTGGTAATGTTGTATACCAGAGTTTCCGTTTTATAATTGCTTTTCAGCTACGATAATATTATTTTTCACTTTGTATTTCAGATTTCTCTTTATAACAATTTTGAAATACTATTTATTATTCTAAGCTTCTTATTAGATGCTTTATTGAAGCTAATTACATACTTTATAAGTGTTTAAATTTAAAAGATATTATTGCATGTATTTGGAAAAAATACTCATCCTCTTGCATATAAGCAAGTCCAGTTGATATGGTAGTGTGTTAAAAAGACATGGTTTGTATATAGTAATGACTACATAAACCATAAATTACTAGTATAGCATATCATATTTTTCTAATCTTCGAAAATATTACTCACAAATTAATTTATTTAAACTAGATTAATTTTTCTTTTTTTGTTTAGAGAAAAGCAGAAGTAAATCTCTAGATCCACGAGCTGTCCCAACGGTGAGTCGCAAAGTGCAGCAAATGGCAGATGGAACCTTATGTTTAGTAACAACAGTGTCAGGAGACACGACTCTACCTGGAGTGTACTCCGATTCTCCCGACACTTCAAGTGAGCTCAGTAGCCACAAGCCAGTCAAATTACCCGGAGAATCGAACTGCTGACAAGAAATCAGACGTCAGAGGCGATTTTGGGCTATTGTAAAGAATTAGAACTGTCTAATATTTGTACAGAATATATTTTGCATGCAATGAGATTTTTTTTCTCTTTTTTACTCTTTCAAAGCTTTTCTTTTCGATTTAATTTGTACAGGATAAATGTTAAATTTATTAACTATGTATTTTACTTCGATATATCGGATTTTAAGAGCGTAATGAGTTGCTAATCATATTTTAAAAAATTATATTCATAGAGGCATAATTCTTCTTTAAAAAAGGAATGAAATATAATAGACTTTCAGGCTGGGAATATTTTGATTAAATAAGATTTTTTAATAAAAACTGTTCAAAAGTTTAATTTTTACCCAAGACACATAAAATAGTTTCAGCGAGGAAATGATTTTCATACAGAACATTGCGAGGAAAAATTTAAAAATCTTCTTCATACGATCAAAAGTGGCCGAACTGACACTACATGAAGTTTTCAACAGAAAACTTATAATCATATTCGAACTAAATTAAAATCAATTCAAAATTTTAAAACTAGTTATTAATTTGAAAATTTTTATTTTAAGATTTTAAAATTCACCTTTAAAATTCCCTTTCATAGAAATGATTGATTTAAAAATATGAATGGCGATGATAGCATCGCAATCGATGCTTTTCTCGCTTATTTTATTTCTTCGGGTGAAGTTATATTCCTTTTAAGATTTTTTTTCTTGGTTGGTTTATAACAAAAGTCTTCAGTAAAGTGAGAAAAATTAATTAATTAAGGGCTTTCCTTAACAGGGCCTGCATAAAAAAATTTAATAATTAAATTTAATAATTAAAAAAAATAATTTGTATTAATGAGTAGTTCAGGGCAAAGAATTCAATTTATTCACGTTCTTTGATTCAGATATAACATATGGTTTCATAAAATCCATAATTCTAGGATTCCGTACTGAAAACAAGCCTCCTTTTATGGATTTAATGATTACTACATACAGACTACTTCATCTGTGGCAACCTTATTCATAACAGTCGTTCGCTTACCGTTAATAAAATATCTAAACCAATTTGCTAACAGTTTTCAGGATTTAATTAAAAATGTAAGTACATGGGGTTTCTACATTTAGCCAACATTGCAAGACTTTACAGATCAAGAGTTCTTGAAATATGCAATCTAGTGTTCTTCCAAACGTTGGAAATTATATATATATTTTTTTATTTGAAATTATTTAGATTCTTTTAAAGTGGCATGACTGCTTTTATCCGGTCATGATATTTTTTGTCGCTTAGTATATATTAGCTTATAATTTTAAGTATTTTTATCGGCAGTATTTTCTTTAGTGATGTAAACATCATCTTATTTAATAGATGTTTATGAAAACAAACACTGCATAAATAACTGTAAAAATTTAACTAACAAATGCTGCTTAAATACAGGTCTTTACAAACAGATCCGAAAACCGTGCCATTCAGAGGGTTAAGAAGATGAAAAATATTATTTTTTAAGTTAGAAGGAACTGATTTATTGATAATAAAAATATAATTTTTCGTATAACACAACCATCATGAAAACAATTATATGTTTCCCAAACTATTTTATGTTAGACGCTTCTGCATCATTTTCCTCAGAAGCAGAAAATGATGTAAAATCTTGCAGTGCATTTACTTTAACCTTAATTTATAGAAATTATGAAATTGTCAAAAAATTAAGCAGGAAATGCAGAGGTTACTTTTCAGCATTTCTTAGCCAGTTCTCAGAATACTAAAAGGTGTAATAACACAGCTTTCTGTATACAATTATACATCTGAAATCAGGTCATACATTTCAAATAAGTTAAATTTATTTATTATGTTTCCTAATTGGTCATGAATCAATATTTCTTGAATCCATGGTGGTACTTTTGTAGATTTTTGTCGATTTTGGCGAGCGATACGACTTATGGTAAACCCATTACTGGACAATGTCATTTTATTTAAAAAAATAATGCGTTTATTCATTTGTCATCATTCATTATTTCTCGAATACATTCCTTATTCTTTTGTTCATAATTAATTAATTTACATACAAGAAGTTGAAATATTCTTGAATGCTTAGGTAATCTGAATTTTACAATAAATAATACTTTTCATTCTTAACGTTGGTAAACAAGACATGCAATACGCGTAATGCGTCTTCGTTTAAAATAAATTGCTTCCAGGAGTGAATTTTGCCAATATTTTTGCAGTATTCGCTTACAAGGGAAGATTTTATAAATGATGTTTAAAAATTGTCCCGCAAGTTTATAATAAGCGAATTAATGTGTATATAAAATATTTTAGATGTTTATAATATTTTTCAGTACTTTCGAGTGTGTAAATACAGAAATTATTATTATTTAGTATTTGAGTAATTTTATTGATGATTCACTACTTCAATTAAATTTTGATTAGTAATCGTGCCATTGTGATAACATTAGGGTCATTATTTTAATGCATATTTAGCCTATGGACTCTAAACAAACTATGAAACTCTGTTTTGTTAATTGCAATTGACTTACATTCCATTTTATTGTTTCTCGCTAATAATTTATTTCATAAATATGTGGTAAAATTCAGAATAGATTTTATTTTTGATGCACAAATTTACTTGATTCAGTGAGAAGTATTTATAGTTTCAGCTGTTTATAAAAGTACTTTATATTCGATCAAACTTATAAAGCTTTATAAAGGTTTTGTTAAATAAAATAAAAGAAATTTATCTGTATTTCTCTTTTACGTTGGCAATTTTAGAATTTTAGATTATTCGTTGTCTGTCTAATATTTTGTGTTTTGAATACTGTGTAATGCTGAATTTTTGTCATGTATGAAACAATGCATATTTTTATATGGTAAGACTTTAATATATATACAGCTTGAAACCAAAGTTTGTATGAAATGAAAAAAAAAATATAATCATTTGCACAACGATAATTATTGACATCACAGAAAATTTTTACTTTTCATATTGTTATTTATATGCACTTTTTATAAATAAATAAAGATCCGTCCACTCTAGAATATTGGGCATGATGTATTGCGTCATCATTGTTTTGTTTTATCATTGTTCCTTTTTCAGTAATATAATTTAATTATATTACTGAATAATGATATGTATTGTTATATTCCGGATAGATAATATGTACTAGATAATATGTTCAGCTGTAGTAGATATTATCAAAAGTAACAAGAACGGGATAGATCAAAAACCTGTGCCTTTATCTGTTAAATTTTAGGAAATGGCATTGTAAACTAAGGAGCTCTTCTAACAAAGGCGTCTTCTAACGAAAGTACGCGAATTTATAATTGTCAGTAAAGCGATTTTTTAAATAAATTTTTTAAACTAGAAAGCAAAGCTTTGCTTTTAAAGCAGACAAGAGTAAAAATATGCAACGCTTTCGCCGGGAATCGAGCCGCGGACCTATCAATTACGCTCTGAGCGTACAGATCCCTACACCACGAAGGCTAGCTAAGAAGACGGTAGAAATACCTTATAATAGTAGTATGAAAAGATGCAATTGCCAAGATAGCGATTTTGCTTTAATGCTTAAAAAAATAAAAAGTCCTCCAGGGGACAAAACCCCTTTGAACTAAAAATCTGAAAGGTTTCAGATTTTAAATTACGTCCAAAGGGGCGTTCTTTAATATTTTGCTTGTTAAATTTATTTATTAAATATCACGTTCTTCGCACTTAAGCCAAAAAATTCAGTTCAAGAGCAATATCGCAAAATAGTTTTAAATTGAGCATATCTTTAGAATTAATTAGCACTTGACAGAGAAATTCAACTAATTAAATTGGATAAGAATTAAATCTGAATAACAATAAAAGCAAAGTGAGTAGAAACAGTAGTTATTAAATTTTCCTTACACCTTATCCTCAATAATTCGCCTTTCAATGACAAATTCGGAAATTTGGCAGAAACTACACGATTATGTAGTATTTGAAATAAAGTAACTTAATGAACATGTGATTCAATGCCTACGATATTACGACAAAGTGAGGTGTTATTATGATAGATGACTTTTTAATGACTGTATTTCTAATCTCGCAGTCAGGAATATCAATTACATGGTGCTATGGAGAACTTTTAAAACTAAATTATTTGCAAACGCTTTTAAAAAAAGGCTTTTATTATCACTATTATTAACTCAGAATTCTTTCATAAATTCATATTGATATGTATAAATCTTGGCTTTCAGTTTTCTAATGACTAAAAGTTTGCTTATCTTAAGGTAAAATAAAGTCTTAATAAAGTCTTAACAAATAACATTTTTCAGTAGGATTATAAGTATCAACAGATAAATTCTTCTAAGGCACTGTCATCAGAAATTTGTTACAAAATGAGTCCCTTACCATTTCGTCAATGTTTAGCAGCTAAACACATATATTTTCCATTGAAACATAACAACATATATTTTCAATTAAATTACGTTCAGCGCAAAGCCCTGAAGTTCATACGGAGGTCAAAGTAATTATCTTTTATAAGAGTAAGGGCTTAGCTCAAATGCTGTGTATTCTTATCATCTTAGCTTTTGCAACAAATTTTTCATGTATGTCATTAGAACATGTGCAATCAATATTAGCTTGTATCTCAATATATTACACAGTATAATAAAATTAGGAATACATCACATCACCATCTAAGCGCATTTTACTTCACCATTCAAGTGCATCACTTTTTATGAATAATCCTCGCATTACTTTGAACTTCAAATTACAATTTTAGCGTTCCTGAACTACGGCACTTTATTTTCTAATCAATATTCAAAAATTGCGTCACGTAACACATTCAAAGCTTTCTGTCAAACATTGTTTCATAAAAGCAACTTGAATTATTTGTTAGGAACACTGACGATGTCTTTCTACGGAAAGAAAGAAATAATTTCATTAGTTTGTTTGTTTCTCAAAATAACTAGAAAATATTCTACTTACTCATAAGAATCAAACATAATTATATTAACTGTTTCATCAATTTGTATAATGGGCATCTTTAGTTAGATTGAAAAAGGTATCTTTACGCTTAATTATATCATTACCAAAATTATATAGCTATTAAAAATGCTTGTTTATACAACAGGCTACATGTGTCTAAACTTTTGTTTCAGGTGCATGAAAAAAATGCCAATTTAAATTGATGAAGATCTTTTAAATGCACACCAATATTCTTTATCTTATCATGAAGTCATTAAGATCAAAGAAAACAGTTTTCTGTACCTTTTAAAAGATGTTATTGCTGGTTCAACTGTAATGTTTCAAAATACAACTTCCTTTGAAAACCCGACTGCAAGAATAATTTTTCCTCCTTCTTCAGTTTTTATCTCCATTCAAGTTATCTAAAATCAGATGAGACACCAATCATCGCATTATATCATGTCTAAAATTATTCGTCTTAAATCTATACTTATTTATATATCATCATCGTCGTCGTCTTCGTCCGATAAAATACCAATTCTTTTACCAATGCTTGTTACAGACTTCGTTACTTCTTCTTGTACCAAATTGAAAGACATAGCTAGCAAAGCCATTCCGAATAACAAGTACAATGAACACAGCCCAAGAGCAAGTTGTGCATCATCGGAAAGCACTGCGGTTCCAGGAACCATGTCACCAAAGCCAATAGTAGTTAAAGTTATAAAGCAAAAGTAACAACTATCAGAATATTCCCAACCTTCCCAATAGGAAAATAAGATGGCTCCTCCACAGATATAGCCCACAACGATGGATATGCAAAGCATAATGGGGACACTGGCTTCATCCTCGTCTTCTTTCTCTGAACTAATAGAAGATGTTCCCTCAAAGCTAAGATCATCATTTATAGACAAGAAAGAGGAGGGCAAAGGCTCTTGGAGGCGATTGGATACTGATGGCGGAGTGCGGACAACAGAAGAACCATGTCGGTAAGGTGATGAATCGATAGTGTTCAGCCTATGTAGTGTACGCTGGGGCAATTCTGTTCCTTCAATTGGATGCAGAGCATATTTGTTAGAGATTATAGGCACTTTGTATGCATCTGAGTATTCTGCCTATAAAGAAAAACAAAACAGAAGCTAAATATTAATACAATATAACAGAACATTCTGTTTGCTGGCATATCAGCAAATGAAAACGTAACATTTATAAACATCATATATAAAATTAATTTTAATAGCAATCAACTAGGGATAAATATGTCATATTTCTTAATACTAATGCATATTTAACTAGTGTTGAGAAAATTGTTCCATTTAGGTATGTCTGAAGTTTCGAATTGTTTTTTTCTTATTTCTTTAAAAATATTGCAATAAATTTTGAAGTATCTCTTATTCCTAACCCCACCTCAGAATTTTTTTTTTTTTTCAAAATGCGAGTAATTGCAAATTGTGGTTGCTATTCAAAAGAAAAAGTTATCAAGCATAGTTTCTCAGATTTTTAGTTGGGTCGATGATAGTACGATTCCGTTTTTTGATAGTAACATAAGGATTTAGAACAGATGAACAAATACTTGAATGCACATATTAATAGTTTTAAAACACATAAATACTACAATTATATAATTAATATATTTTGAATGATAATATGCTTAAATTTCGAATACTTAGTATGAAGCATGCGAAACTCATTAGGATTTCCAGAGAAAGATTACAGGAAAAATCACTTATATCCTAGTGAAGTTCTAATTACAGATTTTCAGATTACTAACCGGATGTGCTACCATAACACAATGCGCGGGGATAGGTGATAATTTCTCATATCCTTCTCCCCTTCCCATAACGGACATCGCGAAGAGAGGAAACAAACCCCGTTTATCAAATCCAGATGGTGATTTCAACCATATTTTCAGGGTTCATAGATATTTAAAACAGCACATCTAGCAAAAAAATATGTTTTCTCCTGAACATTGATCAGGTCTGTCTACAAGTAAATCACTCTCTATGAAATCATACAGAACGAAAAAAACAGGGATTTGAAACCCGATTGCCTATATTTGTGCTCAGTAAACATGTGCTCAGCGGGCAGAAAAGCTACTGGTAATTTGTTTCTCGATGAATAATCATAAATGCGAAACCCTCGGCCAACTGCTTCATTCCTCCATTGTGGAAGAGAGCTACGTCGCCTGACGGTACCACGTATGACCTTAGAAATGTGATCGTCAGTGATAATTTTGTAGCAGAAATTACTTCGTAATTGAAAAGATTTGCCACTGCTATCAACCATATAAGGGAACTGGCTGTGAAAAAGAAATTGTTGGAAACAGTATGCTGATAAAAGTCGAAGACCTGACTATCAGTTTAAAGCTGGAGATCGTGTCTGGACAAGTACCCTGTCAGTAAATCAGCTGAATAAAAAAGGTGCGAGTTTATGCCTTTTCAAGACGGCCCGTATGTTGTTATGACTCAATATTCACCGACTCAAGAGAACTTCCGGCTCGCCATGTATTTCAGGTCCGCTCCATACCTCAAAGACACTATACATTTAAAACCTGCAAGTCATCTCCGGGATTCGAAACCGTGCGCAGTGAAATAGTAGCCAGCGACGCTAACCGCTGTCTCGATTAGGGATTAGGGACTGTGTTTGAAAAATAAATATTTTCAAATTTTGAATCATTATTATGGAATGAAACTCTTTTCCTATGCTAAAACAAAACAATTTTTTTTCACAGTCGCAATATTTATTTCTGCTATGAAGAGATGAATCAGAGTAATAGACAATATTTTATAAAACTGCAGAGAAAATAGGAATATACATAAATAAACAGCATGATTACATGGTAAAGATTTTCAATTAAGTAGGGAAAAAAGAAATTTTGTTCCCTTTTCCTAGTTACGTTATATAAATATGATTGAATATCTAAAAATATCTACATCGGGATACTTTGGTTTCGTTCTCAAAATAAAAAAAATTACTAAATTTTAGCGCGATTATGCTTTAAAGATTCATGCCCTTAAGGTCCAAGAACTAGAAATGTTAAGAGTTTTTAGAAAATATACATACGATTCTACTCATCTAGAAATAACATATGTTAGGAATAAAAACGTTACCTGCTGATTTGCTATGTAAGAGTAGTTAAAAAAAGTGAAAGCGATAAAGATATTAGGTAAACAGATAAACGTACGTCATTTATGTTATCGGTAAACTATGCCTTAATAGTCAATATGAAAAATCAAAGGGAAAATATCAACATTTAATTTTGAAAAATTCTGCTAGAATCCATACATTTTTAAAAATCACCTTATTACAGAAAAATGCGTCGCATCCTTTGGAAATAATAATAAATGGATACAATTTTCAAAGTATAGAAAAAGTTAATGCAAAATTAATTTTATAAATAAATTTACATTTAAGAAACTCATCAGAAACAAGCACATATCAGAATTCTTCCTTTACTCTTAAATTAATCATGTACCTATATGATATACAGGGTTATTAACAAATTAAACTTCCCCAACTCAGAGGCCTGTGCAGAGTGTTGTATGGGTCATAATGTGATGAAATTTTAAAAACAGACACTTCAGATCATGCGCTCGAGATTTATTACACAAAAAAATAGTACAAGAAGTTGCCGATAGGTGGCGCTGTAACACTAGTAATGTGCCTATTGCAGCAGCGTGATTTGCAGAAATAAAGCTTCTGTGCAACGTATCCAAAAGACGAGCCCTACAAAAGTGGAAGACAGGCCTTGCACAGGCAGATGTTTCCAGCTCGCTGATGCACAATGGCGACTTTGAAACACAAAGCTCTGTTAGTGAAACTTTTCTACCAGAATGAAGAGAACTCTTCTGTGCTGCGGATAAGGCATTCCGTCGGCTGAAGATCTTACGCCGAGGACCAATGACACCACGCGCTCTACGAGACATGATGAAGAAGTTCGAAAGAACGGAACAGCTGAAAATTTTACCGGGTAGAGGACGACAGGTTGTGGAATCTGCACGCGCAGAAGACGTTGCTTTGGCGGTCATGGACCCCACTAGTCAATCGCCACATGGTGTTGTCAGTGTGCCAACTGTTTCTCGTGCTGTTGATATGCTCTATACGACCGTCTGGCGTGTGATGCGTCGAATCCTCGGTTTTTTTCCTTACAAAATCCATAGTCATCATCAGCTGTCCGACGGGGATCCTGTAATTCGGGAAACATTTGCGTTGCACTTCCTTGCCAGATTGGAAGTCGATGCTGCTTGGCAGTAGAACATCCTTTGGACGGATGAGGCCCATTTTCACCTGAATGGTCAAGTGAATACGCACAACTGCCGCATTTGGGCAAGTGAAAACCCGCGCGCAATCCATGAAGTGCCCTTGAACCCTCCAAAGGTAACTGTATGGTGCGGTTTCACTGCAACATTCGTCATTGGGCCTTATTTTCTTGAAGAGGTGACTCCAACAGGGTTCAAAACCTGCTTTGTCACAGGAAAACTGTATCAGGACATGTTGACAACGTTTGTGATCCCTGAACTGCAACAAGTGGCCGCCTCCAGTACACGATATTTATGCAGGATGATGCATGCACCTCCCCATATTCTTCGTGGCGTTCAACAGGTGTTACGGGCAACTTTTACCGATGCACGTGTGATCAGCCGCTGTTTCTCTACAGCTTGGCCTCCCCACTCGCCTGATTTCACGCCATGCGACTTTTTGGTTATGGGGATTCTTAAAGGATCGGGTCTACCGATCTTGGCACATCTTTCATATGTGCCAGCGACCTTGGCACATCTGAAAGACGCAATTATTCGACATGTTCGTGGAATTCATGTAGACTTACTGCGTTACGCTGTGGAACACCCTGCTTTGCGAATGGAAAGAGTTGTGGAGAACCATGGCACACATATAGAACATTTGTAGAATGTCTTGTTGATCTGCAGCACCACCTATCGACAAATTCTTGTATTAAATTTTTTTTGTTTAATAAATTTCGAGCGCATGATCTGAAGTGTCTGTTTTTAAAATTTCATCACATTATGACCCATACAACACTCTGCACAGGCCTCTGAGTTGGGGAAGTTTAATTTGGATAACCCTGTATTTCTCACTAGATATAATTCAATTGAATATCCCGGAAATAAGTTTAGAAAACCAGTCTTAGGGATAGCGATATATCTTTGCATCCTCGACATGGTTACAGATCTACTAATTACAGAAATTCGCTCTATATTAGAGATCATTTACATCACCTCAACATTACTACATCATTTCTTGGTACTGATAAATAAATATTCATAAGGAAAACTTTTCTCAGCTAAAATTTTTCATTCGTGTATCAGTTAGACTGTTTGATAAATAGGATATCAAACAAACTATACGGTTTAATAATTTCTGGTTTATTAAGATAAAACTTAGTTAAAGTAATTATTGTGAAATATGTTACCTCTCTGGAATAGTATGAATGATTTCTAGGCAATGAATGATGAGCAGATCCTGATAACAAATAACTTCTCTGCCTCTCAAAAGAATCACCTCCATACAAACGATTGCCCATGAGATCTATATCCCTTCCTTGCAAAGCAATGGTCCTAGCCTCGGACGGATAGCGGCTGGATCTGTTGGATCGACTCTTGCGATGATGTTGCGGCTTAGGATTTGCGCACAAATAGCAACATACTTTCCAATAGATAAACTTGAAGGAATGGGCCATAGCATCACCGATATTCGAAAGGCAGAGCAGAAGTAACGGTATACCAACAATTGCGTAGAGGATGGTCACTATTTTGCCAGTATTTGTCTTTGGAGCGATGTTGCCATATCCTAAAATTTTCATTGATATTAATCAGTCAAATTTTTGCACTAATCAAAATCAATCAAATTTTTGCCGGAAAGCAACAAGAATTACTCTTAATTTATAAACTAGACATAATGCATATAATTAACTTGTTTCTAATTTCCGTTTTAAACCTAGATATAAAAAACTAAAATTGCAAGAGCCAAAGAAGTCTTACACAGTAGATATTAACATACAAAATAAATTTAAAAACTTGAATTCAAAATTAGTTTTGAAATTTTTTTAATATTTTTGTGTTATCTTATTTAATTGCTTGAACTTACAGTGAGGAATACTTTTAACATATGGGTTGTGGTACATCAATAAAAATATAGCTGAATTCCAATTATCCAAGTTTAAAAACAAAACAGCCTATCCGGAATTTCGAAAATCTCGGATAGCTGCATTTTCTTTTATTTGTGTCTCAAATTCATGGTCACCATAACATAAAGCAAGGGTAGAACTTTTGATTCAAAAGTCAGCTATTAAGCAATACAAAAATTTAACATTGTAAATGCGAAACTGTGTTCCGAATACCACTGCATCTACACATAGTTTGATATAGTATGTGGTAAACGTTACGAAATCCATATTTAAAATATTCGTTTTAATTTTTTTATTTCATTTTTGCAATCATGTGTTTTGTTTTTATTTTACATCGCAAATATATGTGTTTTCCAAACTAGTCGTTATAAATAGGGAATGATTATTAAGTGCTAGGAACATTTACAGGTGGAACATACTTATAAACTATCATACAAATTAATTTTCTTTGCTTTCCTTTTCTGATTGCAATCTCCGTATATTCCATTTGCAAATTCGTGGGTTTTATGTCAACTCAAATTGGTGTGCAAATACACTGATGTACACTTATTTCCAAAAGTCTTGAGAACCGTTCATTTAGGTCTTCTGCAGTCAATGCGACTCAGATTTTGCTGTAGACTGAATTCAGAGGGAATTAAGGACTTGATATTAATATGAGATTGCTACTATTTCATTTTAACTTTTTTTTTGAAGCTTCAATTCTGTAATTCATTTCAATTATACAAAGTGGCAAGATAAACCAAAAAGGAGATGGCAGAGGAGAAACCGAAAAGCGTTACTATAATTCAAGGGCAGGACAGTACAATGGTATACTTAGTATATGCCTGCTTGGAAGCACTGAAGTCAGTTTTCACACGCTACACAATTCTGCCGAAGGATACACGGCCTCCATGGTTACATTGTTATGATTTTTACAGTAGCGCTACCTGTGGATGTTGGTGATAGTGTTGGATATATTAAGTTCTATTGAGTCAAGAGGCGAAAGAGTACTAAAACGTTCCAAGAACTCTTGACTCAATAGAACATAATATATCCAACACTATCACCAACATCCAAGGGACGATTTACAGTAAATCGCACTGAACAAGCCAAAACTTTTAAAGACGAAAGAACTAACATAAATAGGCTTTTGTCTTCAACTGTCTGCATAATATCGCCTTACAGTTCATGTATTCTTCACTTGTTTAGGTTTCTGTCTATTTTGGAGTATCTTGCACTGTGATGATCGCGTGAGCGGATAAGACGCTTGGTTTATAGTCTGCATAACGAACGTTTATAGTCTGCATATTTGGCAAATATGCAGACTATAAACCAAGCGTAGTGCCGTTCTAGATATCGTGCGTATTCATAAAAAATTAATAGCTTTCTAAAACAGTATACATAATTACATATACCGTTTTAAATTCTTGTTGCATCATTTAAATGAACAAAAGATTAAAAGCATGCTTTTTGCTTGGCAGAGGAAAAAAAATACAGATCGAAGTAATTGCTGTTTTAGTGCACATACTTTTTTTAAACTGCAGTATTAGGCATAATTAATTTAATAATTAATATTATGTCAGAATCAATAGAAAGTTTTACCTATGGTTGTAATAACTATGATGGAATACAGTAAAGCTCCTGAGAAAGACCACTGAAGATTATCGGTGTCATTGTGTCCATCGTAACCCTCTTTTCTCATCGCCTTCACTAATGTCATTTCATAATTTCTGATGGTGACTGTGGCGTTTTCATACCATTTACTTTCGTTGATAATTTCTCCACTATTTGTCAATTCCCAGAGGTATTCGATCACTTTTTCTTCTTCTTGCCTCATCTGTTTCCGTTTATCGAGTTCGTTGCCGGCCTCCAAGGCCTCAAAGGTGAAGGCTCCCATCACCGTGTAGCCGAAGACTAGACTGCAAAGACCTATGTGGGAGAATAGGAAGGTTGCCCCTGATCTACAGTAATATCTACATTTGGCACAGCGTGACATGTGGTCTGTGGGGTGGTATGCCATTCTTAACCTACAAAATAAACAGAAATTAGGAACTTCAACGTTTAAAAACAAGAGCTGAAAACACATGTGTCTTGTTATTTTCTGCATTTTTTTATAATTCTACGTACGTTTTGATGTTAGAAATATCTTTAGCTGAATTTTTCTAAAATTTTTGTGCGACTACATTAAGTAAAACTGTCTCGCGTTTATCACCTACTCAACTTGACAAATGTTACCATGCAGAAAAACACAAGATTCTTAATTTATCTTATAAACTAGTTAAACTTAATTTAACTTCAAAAACTTCTAAATTTGAAAGCTAAACGAAATATTTTTTACTTTATCGAATAGCAATATTCTGAAAACTAGTTATTTATGAAGTTTAGAAGTTTAAACTAGAAATAACATAAATAACTAGTTCTTATAATATTGCTATTCGATAAAGAAAAAGATCTTTCGTTTAATCTTTCAAACTTATCACTCTCTATTTACTCAATAAAATGAGATGTTTATAAACAATAAACACACTACTTAATTATGATCAAAAGGAAAGCACGCTACATTCACATAAATTTTGAAATATTTCCCTTTTGAAAATAAATTTTATCTGGATTCTTAGCTGCAGGTTTTAAAAACGCTGAGTTATAAAAGATAATGCATTATCATATTAAATTATATCATTTATCTAAAATGAAAAATTTTATATATTTTTACATTTATAATAACTAGGAAAGATGAAACTGTAGAAGTATGCACCTGATTCTGAAAGAACCTCAGCAGTTAAAACTAAACCTTCAGTATCCAAGGAATTTTAAATTGGGCGAAGTTTTATTTTAATTTATTTATTTGTTTATTTATTTATTTGGAAATATTTATCTTCTTGTTGTTCGCGAAATTTGTCTCAGATGACTTTTAAAGAGGAATTAACACTCCATGCACAAACTAAATAGTAGCTTAATCAAAGTCTGATGTGTCACTTTGCTAATCTGCCGAATCATTTCGATGGATAAGAAAATAATAAAAGTTTCCATGAAATTTAGTAGCGCAGCATCATCTTTCTTGCGATTATCAGCGCCGAAAGTCAGTAAATAATATACCGATATACCTTACGTGCATGTGAGCCAGTTTCCCTTAGAAAGTCCTCTACGAAGACATCACTTTTCTTAGACAGATAGCGCTCGAGTACTTTGCCATAATCAAATAAACCAAACTGAAGTACCTTAGATTACCATCACTAATCTTTTGCGCTTTTGCAACTGAGGATGATGGTTCGGTGAAACCATGGAAACTAGTCCTGTGAGAATTTGAAAATATAACGCTGATTTTTGTTGTTTGACTTTTAAATCAATAACTGTTTAGTGTTTACTCGTTATCTTCAAGAGATGAATATTTTCAAAAGCTGAAAACATTCAATAGTTCCAAGCGAACTTATCAGGTTCTAAACAGTCCTGAAATTAAAAACGTATTCCAAAAAATATAAAAATTTGAGTATACAAAACTGAAAACATTTCTTTTGTAAACGAATAAAATTTGAATGTTTTCGAAAGTAAGGAAAAGATAAGTTTTGCTCCTAGTTGCATGGATGCAAAAGCAACGGAAGTATGTCAAGCAGTGAAATTGTTCAACAGTATAGTTTTCCAATAGTATGGGTTCTGTTTTGGAATCAGTGTATTTTGTGCTTTACCTCAAAATAAATGGTATTTTGAACAATCGTGCGTACCGCAGCATTCTTCAACAATAACCAGAATCATCGGAAGAAACCTGGTTAATGCCATTACGACGATATTGAAGACCTTACAGACAACTAAACGACTTCGAACGTGGTCGCATTGTAGGGTTGCGTGAATCTGGGTGATCATACCAAGCAATAGGCCGCCACCTGCAGCGTACAGACACTGCTGTGTAAAGATGTTAGCAACTCTAGTTGCTACAAGCACGAAAGATGTCGATGAAATAAAGGCTCTGGAAGGACAAGAAGCACAAATGCGAGGCAAGATAGGATGATTGTTGGCCAGGCCCGAACCGCTCCAACGGTATCATTGTCGACTATTCAACGCACTACAGCCACGTCTATACCTCCTGTGGTACCATCCACCATTTCACGGCGCTTGTTCTGAGGCGAGGTTACGCTCACAGATTCCTTTAAGACGTTTGCCTTTGACCCCACAACATCGGCGGAGTCGTTTGGAGTGGTTTCGCAACCGATCACCATGGCTGCCATCAGACTGGCATCGCATAGTGTTCAGCGATGAATCCCGCTTCACTCTTGAAGCAGATGACCACCGTGTTCGCGTCTAGAGAGGACGGGGCCAGCGGTCCCAATCAGCCTTTGTTTTACAAAGGCATACAGCCATACCCCTGGTGTGATGGTGTGGGGCGCTATTTCTTATGACAGCAGGTCATCTTTATTCATCCTTCGTACATCTTTAACAACTCAACGATATATTGCTACCATCCTGCGGCCGGTTGCATTACCCTTCATGGTACGTCATCCTGGGACCATTTTCCAACAAGATAATGCCAGGTCACATACCGCTCGCATATCTCTGGACTGTCTGCGTGCGGTTGATACTCTTCTTTGGCAAGCAAAGTCACCAGACCTATCACCAATCGAGCATGTTTGGGGCATGGTAGGTCACCAGATTCGGGCACTCCAAAATATCGCAGATGTGGAGCTACAACTGATGAATGCCTAGCAGATTGTGGCGCAGGAGGGCATTAGAAACCTCTGCCACTCTTTGCCTCGACGAATTCAAGCATTGCATTGCCGCCAGGGTCGGTTCGACCAACTACTAATTTGAACACTCAATGAGTGATTGTGAGCCGTGAACAGGTACTAGGACCTTGATTTGTTTAATAATTTATTATCTGTGTATGAGCTATACACATATTCAATTTCCTGAAAAACAACCACTTCCTTCATGGTGCTACGATGTTTTTGCAAAAGAGTGTATTTCCAAATTGACCATAACGTATATCATGTTCATAACCCTGGGGTCGTTTTATTAAAAATAATGCTGTTGATAATTTCATCTTAATTAATTATTTAGCGCCGAAATAAACCTAATGACTCAAAAATGTGTAATAATTAACAGTGGGATGTCCGTGAAGAACATCTAAAGTTTTCTTTTTGGAGGGTGAAAAAACAATAAAGTGCCAACTTAAGATGATGCTAGTTGTTACAAAAGAGTATTATCTCAGCCCGCATACTCTTGCTTCTGCTTGGGCCCCCAGCGGCCGAGCGGTAACGTCGCTGAGCACTGGTAGTTCGGTCCGAGGTTCGAATCCCGCAAACGGGCTGGTTTAGCATGGGAGTTTTCGTGGTTTTCCTCATGTGTAACGTGTATACGAGCCAGTTTTCCTTAAAAAGTCCTCCACGACCTCTCTTAAGGCAGATAGCCCTCGAGTGCTTTGCCGTAATCTAATAAGCTAAACCAAACCTTCTTCTGCTTACGGCTCAGTATTTTGAAGTGAAATTACAGTGCTTTTATAATGCTTAATATTGTAGGAAGAATTGTGAAAAGTTTTGGGAACAAATATTTTGACGTTTTCGATTGTGAAATAGGTATGTAACGTACTGTTCCTTATAAAAAGGAGAGCTAACGCTTTCTTTAAGGCAGTCGTTCCTATCGTTTTTAGTCAGTGTCACTCCATTTAATCTAAAAATAATTTCTAGCACACATTTGTAAAACAAACTACACCTGAACAAGTGAAATTAGTAAAAAATAATGCTGGATGAGTTCTTTTTCTTTTATGGATACTACATTTATTGTACGATAATTTATTTACTGATAAATAAATAAATTAATGTATACATTTAATTATACATAAACAACAACATATCAGTTTGTAATGGCTAAGTGGCTAAGTTCTTGTTGTTTTTTGGTAATAACACGTTGGAAGCAAGTGTTCTTTCTTTTTTTTTTTTTTTTTTTTTTTTTTTTTTTTTTTTGTAAGGGACGTAAATCATTACTTGCATTTAACTGGTTTTTTTGGAAAGAGTCTTTAATGATGCTTTTGCCAGGTTCTAACTGTGAACACCGGAAATGATCTAAGTTCAGATTTTAAAATTTCATTTCAATAAATTTTGTTTAGCATGACCTTTGTAAGTATACTGAAAAACATTTCATTCATTGCTTTCCTATGTACTATGAATTAAATAGCTATTAGGTTTTACTTGCCTGTCGTTTCAGTAAATGAATTTGATCGATAGACGCGATATAAAAAATTTTAAAGTAATTTTGCATTAAATTTTAGCTTAATGTCTGTTATATTATCTGTACATGCGTTTTACTTAACATTGTTTTACATTTATTTTCTATATTAAATATAAGTAATAAAGTAATATTTTACCAGAAGCTGAGAAGGTGTAAGGATATATTTTTCATTTGTTTGCTCATAAGTAAGACAGGAGCCGTTAGGTGATCACCTAGGTTATCTTAATGGTAAAACCGGTCCTGAATAATGATATCAAAATAGATTATCTTTCTCAAGAAATGTTTCTAATATTCTGGAAAATCGTTTAGAGACAGAGAAATATTAGATGCGGACTTAAACATTTATATTCCATTCAAAATTCTGAGGCAATTTTCCTTTCGCCTGTTTTTCAACGGCTTAAAAACGGCAGTATTTAATAGGAAATACGCATTTTTATTTTTTAATAGATTCGAAAATGGGCAATTGCTTTAAGAAACGTTTCGGTGTAAAAAAACGTACAGACGTGAATAATGCATAATTTCTGCTCTATATTATTGAGTTAAAATCGGAAAAAAAAAAAGTACTAAATTCTTCATCTGGTTTTTTCCCAGTATGTTTTTTCCCGCCGTGTTCCGTTCTTTCTCACCACGTGACGTTCGAACGCAGAGGAAAAACAGCCACATGTCCTATTTCATTTCCTCTAAGAAGGCTAGTCAAAGGATAAATGCTTTTGATAGCGCATAATACAAACAAACTGCTAAGGTAATAAAAAAAATCAAATCCTACCTGTGTGATTCTCCGTTCCCGAAGTCCTCGCAAATCCTAAAAATGGGTTGAATGACCCCCTGGGCCTTCAAACACAAAGGGGTCTTAAATTTTCCGCTTGATTTCGTCCGGCATATTGCCGGCGAACGACTTCCTAACTAACCTGTGTCTCTTTATCACTGAGGTGGGCCGAGATTCCGCATGCGATTTGCCTCCTGGAAATCGAGGAGAGCGATCTCGCACTTCTGGCGACCGGCCATCTTGTCCGGGAAGAGAAGATTGTTGTTTTCTTTCTTCTCTTTCTTTACATTTTCTTTTGCAACCGTTCACGTCATTTGCTCTTTTGCAGTTATATTCTTAGGCCAAACTGAAGAGTACTGTTTCACAAGGAAGATTTAGAACGCTCGTCGTGCGTTCTGTGGGGATAATGCGGAGTTAAGTGATGTCACCCGAAAGACCTTGGTGCTTGACTGCGACCATTCAAGTGTCTTATGCGAAGACACTTTGGAGCAGAAGATGTTCATTCCTCACTCCTTTTTCCATTCTGTTGCACACTTTTTCCCTTCTCTTGCATCTCGCGGACAAAAGATTAAAAAGATTTTTAAAACAACGAGTTCAATTCACCAAACACCTAGTCTCTTTATTTTAATCTACTAATGGTGGTAATATGAATTGCTTTATTCAGTAAGCTGTAACAATTTTGTAGCAAAACACATTAATAGTTTGATTTAAAAGCATTTATTTAAACCTTTCTTGCTTTTATTAATATTGGAAATATTCCTAATAAATTACTGACACAATCGACTCCTTTTTAAATTCAAATAACAGTGCAGAACTATATTAATTACAGTTCATGAAATAATCATCTTATAATCAAATGAAAGAAACATGTAAAATAATAAGAGAAGGAGTTTTACTGATACCTGTTACTACATTTTTGTTTACTTCATTTCAAAACACCAAAATAATCTTTTTACGCGATTTTATTTAGGTTTATTTGTCCCCTGTTTGCTTAGATCAAATTTTGAAGTCAGTTTTACCAGCTTCTGCAGAACAGTCTTTTGCAATCTCTTCCATATATAAATTTGAAACGATAGCATTAGTATTTCCCAGCGAGGTCTTCAGAATTCGACATATTTCCCTGATTTAATTTTGAACATACTTTTGACGTATTTTTCTCGAATTATAATGATTGAACTAATCAGAAATTCTAATTTTGCAGCATTGGATAGATTGAACAAACAAATCTTCAAAATTAAATTTATTTCTAATCTCTAACGTAATATGCACTTTATCGTCAGTCACATGTGGCTTAACGTTTTGATATAATTGCAAAATAAATTATTTTTTGTTTGTCTCATCTATAATTCCGTGTATGTGCCACTCTTCCTAAACAATACAAACACAAGCATGGATTCTGACCTTTTGTGATCTGTTATAATATATATGCTACCAGTCTTTGACTTTGGGTAGTAGAAAACTTTTGAATAGTCTTGCGCTTCTTGGGCAAACAACCAGCATGTAAACACAATGCAGCTTCTTTGAGTAACATATTAGTTTCTGCTTCGGTTTAATTCAGCCTTAGCTGTAATAATGCCTATAATAAATGTTGAGAAAAGTCCGGCTTTGCTGTTTATCGTCCTTCTGGAAAAGGCTGTCAGGGGGATTTGAACCGGTTGCTATATTTTCATCTGTGGGTCTTTCGATAACGTAAGTTGGTCCTTGTGTTTCATATCCTCATAAAATCATACACTCATTTCATCTAAGGAGTCTTATTTAGTTGAACTTACTCCATTTTCGTCTTCTAGTAAAACTTTCCTTTCATCCCAGGCGTTTTCAGAGTCGTAGGTTGTCTGTACATCTTGATCGGGGATAATCTTAGTTTAAATAAGAAAAATATCCTTAGAAAATATGGTAAAGAGATTACGTGTTAAAGCAGTAGACTTTATCAATTTAAGTTTATTGCGTTAATCCAAAAAATACAAAAGGTAAAAATAAATAATAATTAAATTACAATACACTACAGTTTTCTAATGTATGTGCTAGTTTTTGGATTATTTATCAAATAAGTTATCTTTAAGTTTTCTAAATTTATCATTTAATTGCCAAACAATGGAATGCAATATTTTTATTAATGTGATCCAAAGAACTCAACAACATTAAAAGAAAACATTTTAAAAGTATTGTTTAAAATTGTATTCTTTTCCATACAAATTAGTATTAAAAAGTACTAAGAATAGAAGAATGACGGCCCTCTTTTGTGGCAGCAGCAATAGTGAAGAAAAAATTAAATCTTCAGGAAGTTTCTAAACATAAACCTTACCCCTTCGTCAATTTTTCTGTTCTTTTTCTGCTATTTGCATGCACCACTAAAGTATGTATGCTTCGTGTTTATTTATTATGTTACAAAATCAGTATACTTCATGTTTATTCATATTGTTACAAAATCAGTCCTTCTAAATTCTCAAGCCTGGCATTTTCTGGTGACTCCGAACATCTCGGGATATTCGTTAGTAAGGTATTTTTTATCCCTCCTCACCACGTACTTTCGAGGTGTAATTAGAAACACTTTCGGTTAGCAATCGAAAGGTCAGAAGTCCGGCGAAGGCATTACGCATTTTCACGTCTTTTGCTCTGAAGTAAAATTAAATATTTGTGTGCAGTCATAGTATTAAACTATAAAGAAAAGGTCATGTCGTACTGAAACAAAATTAGGACAGTTAAAGCTTTCGTACAAATTATTTCACAGTGATTATTTCGTAGCAATATTATTTCTCTTAGTTTGTGATTAAAATATTTGTAAGGTAATAGGTAAGTATAAGAAATGAAATTCTAAAAATTTATTACCAATGAAAAGTGTGAATAAAAGTTTGCAAATAAAAATTTAATTTATAGCATTGTTTGAAAATGGTTGAAAATTTAAAACGCAAGAAGACATTTATACTGAATGACATTTTATTGGTAGTAAAATAAACTAAAATTTGAATAAAAATGAAATTCACGTTAGCGTGTGGAGACGTCATTTTCAAATTTTCAATACTGAAACGCTATCTGTCAAACTTTTCCCCTTGAGATTTTTTTTTTCTGAAGTGGCAATAGTAAAAGAGTTTGGAATAAAAAAAAGGTAAATATTAAAATTTGTTTTTAAGAAGGAAACTCATTACCGTTTGTTTTACTCCTGTTCTCTCGTTATAAATTTATTTCAAGAAGTTTTTCTCCAGGGTGTACTGTTGATATGCTTGTTCTTAATCAACGAACCTATAAATGTATAACATTATTTGAGAATGATTTAAAAGAAACTTTAATAATACAATAAACTCAAATTTGAATAAAAAATGAAATTCACTGTAGCTTCAACTTTTTATAACTAAACGATGTCTGCGAAATACTCAACCATAGATTATCTATGATTGAGTCTATTACTGCTCATCTCTGTTGACTACATTCCTCTACTTCGCCTACTGCGAAAGGAATGTTAATACATTTAGACTGTTTTTCTTTCCTTTACAGTCTGTTGTACTGATGAATTAATACTACATTCTCTAAAATTTTATGCCTAAATAGAACTTGCAGTTAATTTAATTAGTTGAGCAAATTCTGTAATATGCAAATATGAGTTTCTTAAATTTAAAAAAAAAATGAAAAGAAAAGAAAGGGAAAATAAAGAAAGAAAACGATCGCTCAAAAGCATTTGTTAAGGCTTTTATGCTCTCGTTGAGCTCGCAATCTACCAGTCTGTTGTTGCATTCGCTCCTGCCAACCTATTTATTTTTTCTTTTTAGCTTTATTATTAAACTTCATTTTCTTCGCACTAAGCCATATACCATTCAGCAGGAAAATTTTAAAATTTAATATATTAAATAAAAATCTTTAAAAACTTAAAAAGCGTCATATATTTAGAATTCCCGTTGCAGTATTAAGTGTAGGCATATATGTTTCGATTTTGTTTTCAGCATTTTCTAAGTTTATCATGTCAATTTTCTGTTTTCTTAGTAAGATGGTTTGCATTTTTTTTTCTTTTTATTATTAACATTTAGTGAGTTAACTTTATTTATTAAATAACATGTTCTTTCCACTTACGCCACATAAAATTCAACAGCAAATTCACAAAATATTTAAAAAAAGCATATCATTATAATTTTCGATAGACAGTCTCGTGCGCTGGAGAAAAAAATGTTTTATTTCCTACAGTGTTGCCACTGCTCGCTTTCATATCGTTGAGTTTTTTAAACAAAAATTTATGAAAGTTTTATAAAATATGAAATATAAAATTCGAAATTAAAAATTCCGTCTTCCAGGTGCACATGTCTACGTTATTCAGAATCTGATGGCTCTAGGTATCGTCGCTTTTTCACAGTGAGAAGAACATACATAATCCAACATGCATGAAGATTCTTCGTTGTTTAATTTATTTAATTACTGTAAAAATAATACAGGGCGATAATATCGGGGTTTTTATATTATTATTTTTCTTATTTATTTATTTATTTTTAACCAATTTTTGTTATTTTTCAGATCATTAAAATGGGGCACGTCGACAAAAATAAGCATTTTGGACACCTTCTTCTTTTGGCGTTTAATCGAGGCTCCAATGCTGCAGAAGCTGCCCGAGAGATTTGTGAAGTGTGCGGAGAAGGTGCAACACCTGAACGAACTGCAAGAAATTATTTTGCCAAATTCAAAAATGGAAATTTTTACCTTGAAGACGCTGCTTGTTCCGGACGACCAAATGAGTTTGATGAAGAACGTTTGAATCAACGTCTGCATGTAGACGCGTCTCAAACCACTCGAGAATTAGCCGATCGAATGGTTTGTAGCCGAACGACTATAGTTCGACATCTTGGGTCTATATGGAAAAAGTCCAAAAACTCGGATATTATTGACTAACTTATTTTTTGTTTTGTTTTGTTAAATAAAAATTGTTTAATTAAAAAACGGCCATTACTTATGTTTCAACACAATATTTGATGGTTACATTTTGAAAAGTGATTCTTCATTTATAGTGTTTAGAAACTAATAGTACTTTTGGCCTAAAACGAAAGAAAGAAAATATGAAAGAATACAGATTTTAACGTCGCACTACAGGATTTCTTATGCTCTCACTGAACATCGCAGGTTTGCTATCCGCTCTTGGACTTACACCTGCTAGCACAATCTTTGTCTTTTTTTATTTTATTATCCAAAATTGCTTTTTTTGCACTTATGCTACGTATATTTCAAGAGTAAAATGACAAAATATTTAAAAATAGTGTTTCTTTTGAACTTCTGATAGTGTAGAGGTTGCTATACGTTTTTTCAGATTCGCTATATTATTTCTTGGGAAACAAGCCGCTCAGATGGTCATTCTCCTAAAATATTTAATTTCAAAATAATAATAATAATAATAATAATAATAATAATAATAATAATAATAAATAAAAAAAAAAAATCTGAAAGCTTTAAGATTTTACATTACTCCCAAAGGGGCGTTTTTTTAACGTTTTGTATGTTACCTTTATTTATTAAATAGTACGCTCTTCGCACTTAAAACATAAAATTCAATCCAACAATAATATCGCAAAATAATTTTAAAATGAGGAATATCTTTAGAATTTCTAATACAGAATCTCGCGCGCTGGAGATAAAAATGTTATTTTTTTTTTTTTTTTTTTTTTTTTTTTTTTTTTTTGTACAGTGTTGCCATTGCTCGCTTTGAAATCGTTTAGTTTGTTAATCAAAAATTCGGTGTAGTGTTACAAAATAAGTTAACATACTGGGCCCAGTATGTGAACCTCCCTCGATTCCTCGATTCTACCAATTATTCGCCACTTTTGTCATGCACTTAAATGATGTCTTTGAGCCATGACTACTAAATAACGATCACTCTCAGAAAACACATTCAATTTAAACAGAACAACAAACCGGAATTAAAACATGCGTCCATTGCGCACCACATTGTTCAATTTGTTCGAATTTGCAATTTCCGGTTTTAAGTTATACGAGGAAGTGCAATTTTAAGTTCACTTATATTTAATTAACATAAATAATTACAGCATTGGACATTGGTTGCACCATTAACTTAGGGAGCATATTTTTCACATTATCCTTTAATTTTAATGACTAGCGTATATTGATGACTGCCACATTTACAATATTTGTTCACTCGGAGATAAAAATTTAAGTGGTAGTTTTTGAACAAATTTTCTTTTTGGTAAGAAGTATTTTAAATGTTAATGCAGAAAGCATTTACATTGTCATTTTATACACATCAGCCCTCAGGCTCTATCCATCTATTTTACTTCCTTGTACGAAGCAAAGGAAGTATTGCAATCGCGAAAAATTTTGGGTATAATATTTCAATTAAATATCCATTGGAATCCCTCTTCGAAACATTTAAACGATATTTTTCCGTGACATCTGTACGCACGCACAGAATAAAGGACTGTTTTTGCCAAAACAGATTATAAAATGAATTTAAAATGGAATCAGAAGAGATTTTTTTCCTTGACGTTTATACATACGTATGTATGTATCTCGCAAAAGTGAAGAACGAGTATCAGTAGAACGTTAAAATTTTGTATATGGATGTTTGTGATGATATATGAATTTTGTGTATCAATTTTCTATGTGGATTTTTGTGTATATATGATTGTATAGCTATAGCATGTAGTTGTGCATCTTCCTTTTTCGTTGTAATCGTCGAGAGGTTCGAGTCCCAGCGAGGTTATTGCACAATTTTCATGTCTCCTGCTTCAAAATAACCTAATGTCTCTACAGGTGTTTTATGTTTTTCTGTATTTTACAATTTTAATTTAAGATGTTTAAGATTTTATGTATGTTTTCTCTACCTCGAAGTGATAACAGAATTAATTGAATGAGAAATATATTTCTAAAGAAATTCGAGGAAATAAGCTGGCATAAAATACAGCAAAAAATGTGTATAATTTAATAGGTCATACAAGGAAGTCCTGTGTTGTTCACATCAGATTTTTTCCACATAAATTTTGACTTTTCTAACTGAATACCTAGCGCTTCACCCTGGTTTTAAAAGTAATATTGCATATTGCTCCGATATCTAACTATATATAAGAATGTGCAGTATTTTGAATTTCCAGGAGTTCTGTTGCAGGTAATGAGATTCAGTTGTAGTAATTGGAATCCGCAGAAAGCATTTAATTTTTTTTTTGCGTAATATATAATAAAATATCGCTTTAACATATTGTTGGCTTTTACAACTCTGCATACCCATGCTGGAACTGCCTGGATATGCAGAGGGCCGTCTTAAATCACAAGCCCACTGGACACTTGTCACGAACATAGGAACTCTATATAATTCTGTACCTTTCATTTTTCTGAGTGGCTGTTGTGGGGGCCCAAGCACATTCGTCAGAGGCCCGTAATGCTGCTAAGGCGGCATTAGTTGCTCATGCTTTTCTTGTGGTCGAGATTTATAAATTTTAAATTAAATTATAATCATAGTGTTTTGATGACGTTGAATACTGTAGTAAAAGTTATGAGCATTTGCGGATATATATATTATTACATGTGCAGATAATTTTAGTGAAATTGTAGTATTTTTGTGCAATAAAACATGAAAATCTAAAGAGACGATACTCTGCCAGAAGGTAGGAATACAGGTACAAGTCAATTTAACTTTTACTAAATGGCTATTTCGCTAAATTTCCGAGATATCGCCAAGCTTGCCATGGTTTTGGCGAAAAACCTCCAAATAACGCCAAATTTGACGACATTTTGGTTTGCTCCTTATATAACTGTAATGGGTATTGCAAACGAATAACTGTAATTAATCTACATATGTAACTGTAACCGTAGTAGGTCCTGAGTTGTAACATTAACCGTATGTTCCTTTCAGTAATTTTGAGAAGTGCTAGACAATTATTGGGGGCGGGGGAAAGCTATATAAGACCACAGAGAGCATCTGCTCTCAGGTTTTAGTTCAGAGCTGAATATTGAGATATCCTAGAGAGCTTCGCCTTTTAGATACGCTTTGCACTGCGTTATGTTCAACGTTCATAGTTGTTTGAAGTATAAAATCTTTAAATTTTAACACAGATGTTCTCCGACTCTGTCTGAAACTATCCAGATATGATGGAAAGACTTCCTGCCAAGTGTAACGGATGCAGTTCACTAAAATTGCAAACTCACATGGATGAGATTCCGAAGATAAAGCCTGTCATTTAAACGTTATCTGAGATCAGACGCAGCAGATATCTCCCAACTCTGCCCCGAAACCAGACGCTAGACTTCGAAGCTCTTTCCGTCACATTGGAGGTGTGTTTGGATAAGAAGTGTTTAAAAGACTAAAACAAGCTTCAGTTAAAGTCTCGCCAATAGAATCCCATGGAAATATTCCAAGAGCTCACCACGGATACTGAAAGCTATCTCATTTAGCTTTTTCGGATTGCCTAATAAAAAGCAAGGAAAATACTGCCCCTGCAGTACTTTATTGATGGCATCTGGGATCCTGAGATACAGAAAGCTTTGTCAAAGATTTAAAAAGGGCTTTAGTGTATGTATAAAATTCGGGGCATGCCAGTAAGCAACTAGTAGAGACTCGTACACAATCTGAGCTACTGAAGTGGCTGCTGAGCCAGTGGATCAACTGACTGTTAGTCTAGACCAGGGTTTCTTAAATTGTGGGTAGCGACCCCCTTGGGGGTGGCGAAAAATTTTAGCAGTTTTAATATTTCTTTAACTTATTATAATAATTTTACAATTACGAAATATTTTTACACAATGTATCTGAAAATGTATGAAAATGTATCTGAAAATGTATTACACAATGCATCGGATTTGAGCAATACTTATGGGGTCCCACAAAATTTTTGTAAATATTATGGGGTCCTGGGGGTCGCAAAAAACTCTTAATGATAAAAAGGGGTCGCGACTGAAAAAAGTTTAAGAAACCCTGGTCTAGACAATTTAACTACGCAAGACAGTGCCTTGACGCCGAACAACAGTGGCAGCAAAACAACAGCCTGGAACTGCAGTGCTGAAGGTCATGTACGAAGGAACTGCCGAACAACAATGGCAGCAAAACAACAGCCTGGAACTGCAGTGCTGAAGGTCATGTACGAAGGAACTGCAGAACACTCCAAGGCAAGGAAAATAAAATCGCTCCACAGAATGGAAGCAGGAAACCAATTAGTGGCCATCTCGCAGAGAGGAGCTTGCCAAATATTGAGGAGGCTTATTTTAAAGCACTTCAGATTTTTGCAGTGAAGGGAACTTTTCATCATAGGACATATGAATGGAGTCCCTTGTCATATGACATTCGAGACTAGAACAACTGTCATCATCATCCGAAAAGATTACCTCAACAGTTAGAAAGCAAACTCATCTGGACGCCACCATGCATTACCCTCCAGATTATTTCCGGTGATAAAATCGACATCGATGGAAAGTTAAACATTAACAGCCCATTGAGTGCCGCCTATCATAATACGGCATTTATAGCGGGTATTACCGACCCTTGCATACTCGGATTAGACTTCCTGAGAAAATACAATATTTTCTTGGACTTCAAAAATAACAAACTGCATTCTGCCTCTGAGGAAATTAACCATTTTGGAATTAAAAATGAAGTTAAATCCGTCCACCGAATTATAGTTCAAAAGGATATAACAGTACCAGCAAGAAGGGAATTTTTGCTTTCTGGTTCCATAGCCGAAAACAGAAATTTCCAGGAGATTATAATAGAATATCTCAAGAACTGTAACAGCCCGAAATGAGTACTATTATCCTCGGCATTCGTTCACTTATCGAAGACCGTTACCCCGCTGAGATTTTCCAATGCAACTGATAAGGCGAAAATCATTACGAAAGGTGAAGTTGCAGCATATACTCCAGTGAACTGCACGAACCAGTAAACTCCAGAGTCTGTGTCT